AGCATGCTGAAGGTTATCAGCTTGGCTTCATTAAAATTATCAGGTAGTTTCCGAGCTAGAACAGCTAACACAAAGCAAAAAACAGCCAGCAGGCCAATGTAGCCGAGCACAGCCCAGAAGCCAACAGCAGAGCCTAATGCACATTCCAGGATGATCTTCCCCTTGTATGTGGTTAGATTTTTCAATGGGAAAGGTGGTCTAAGCAACAACCAAATAGTACAAATTAAAACTTGAATGAATGTGAAAAACACAACAGTCATCCTTTGTTGTGGAGGCCCAAACCATTTCATGACATTACTACCTGGAAGTGTAGCTTTAAAGGCCATTAAAACCACTACAGTTTTGCCAAGAACACAGGAGATACAGAGAACAAAGGTGATACCAAACACTGTGTGTCTCAGCATGCAGGACCACTCAGAGGGAGCTCCRATGAAAGTTAATGAACATAAGAAACACAGAGTCAGAGAGAAGAGCAACAAGAAGCTCAGCTCAGAGTTGTTGGCTCTGACAATAGGAGTTGTTCGATGATAAAAGAAAATAACTGCTGTTATGATGGACAGAGAAGCTCCAAAAACAGAAAATGCAGCCAGGATCTTTGCAAAGATTTCATCGAAGGACAAAAATTCTACTGGTTTGAGGAAACATGCATTTTTTTCTGCATTAGGCCAGAATTCACTGGCACATGGGAGACAGTCCGGAGAATCTAAACAGTTCAGAAGAGGTTGTTAGAAGACAATTTATTGTTGCAATTTTCCATCAAAATCCTTTGTGAATACCTGTTTTATTACTGATCTCTCCTTCAGGACATGGTATACAGTCATAGCAGCAGATAGGTTTTCCTTTCTGCAACACTTTATGAGTTCCTGGAAGACAACTCTTAGTGCACAACGACGCTGGTACCTGTTATATGTACACAAAAACATTAGGTGAATCATTTTGTTGTTGTATTTTTTGCAGCTTCTCATTTTTATATTTATTTTTGTTCCTGCCTGTTTAGTATTTTTAGATGTCCGGAAGCATTTTCATCAGTGGTGGGCAGAACTAATCTAAAAATTAGTTCCACTAGCCCTAAAACACTAACTCAAATATTCAGGTCCCCTAATTCTAAAGCACTAATGCACTGAAAATTTTAGCAAAAGCTAAATCAAAATGTCTAAAATAACCCAGTCAACCCATGAACATTCTTCAACAGACAACACGAGTAACATTTTACCATGTTGGTCTCTTAAAGCCTCACAATTGACATTCCACAGCCGTATTTGTGTTCATTTATTGTCAATACATTGTCACTTAGTGGATAAGTGAAACATGTATAAAAAATGTGACAGCTTTCACCCTCAGCTGTTAACATTAATGATCAATAAAGACCTCAGTTAGTGCTTCTAAATTTAGCCTATCAATTTAGCATGTGCTAATCCACTAATAAATTTAAAATTTAGCAAAAGTCCCAAAGCACTAATCAGGAAATTAGTTCCCCAATTAGTGCTTTAATGTTTCAGTGGAACTGTGCCCACCACTGATTTTCATAATTTGTTAGTTGCTAATTTGTTCATTGTATCATTTGAGTCTTTACCTTTGTTCCACCTTTTACCCAGGTTATGTTCCTATTGACATGAAACTCCTGTCCTTTAGGCAGTGATGCATCATAGTATCCTGCTGTTACCAGCTCAATATTTCCACTCTCACTTTTCTGCCAGTTGACCAGCTCATAAAAAGATACAGGATCTCCATTAGCATCAAATGACACAGGATAACCATTTTGAGAGAAGTTGACTGTTTTTAGTTTAGATAACACCTAACAAAAAAACAAAAAAAATTGCAAATTGAACGTCAAAACCTAAAAGACGGTAAAGACATTTTTGACGCATTCCAAAAAAATTCACAGATTCATTTCATGTTCTACCTGACCTGTTTGGACTCCAGTCTGATATTTCTGTCACACTGAGTGGTGAGATTCTTATTCTGACACACTGCATTGTGAATGGCACGAGCTATTGCATAAACAGCCTTGTACACATTGTTAGTAATTCTTAATTGGGACGTGTCAGTGTACGGGTTTTGGAGTTTATTTATGTCTTCAGTTCCATCACAAACTTTTTTGCTTGGATTATCAGCTAAAGACAAATGAAGACAGAGGTAAAATATTCTATAAGAAGTAAAATATGCAAAAAGAAAACTTTTGGTGCATGATAACAAAACTCAAAACTGCAATAAGACAGTCTCAAATAAATATTTGCACTGAAATCACTGTCTTGCTGACTGAGAACCCATACTGATACACTGACAATGTTTAAAACAACAAATCATGATTTTCTACTAAGTCTGGTGAAACAATAATGAATTTTCTGCATGCAAAAAATTTTTTGTTCTTATTTTTAAATTTCCACTCTTACTTTGTGTCAGTTTGCAGCTGAACGCTTCCTCCCATAATTCAGTAAGCACTGCGGAGGCAGCTACTTTATTTGGAGGGAGATCCAGCAGAAATTCTCTTAGTCCTGGTATGACAGATCGCTGAATGCCAAGTCCAATAGCCCCAGCACAGAAAGTGAAGCTCACCAAGAGTGGGTCAGTTATCCATGCCTCACTTCCTATCCACTGACGAGATGGTGGAGTTTCCCGAGCCAGTTCCTCTAAGAGCGCCTTCATGTCCCCCGGAGCCGCAAAAACCACAACAACTGTTGATGTTGACCTGTATATATATCAATATTTCATTCTAACTTATAGTACATATTTCCCATTTATAGTATTTAAATTTTTCCTAAAATGAGACATGTATTCAAAATAAACATTTTTGTTGCATATTTGAGCTCTAGGAACGAGATTTAAAGAAAAGAAGTAATAACCTGCGGACAACATTAGCCACTTTCTGAATTTTAGGATATGGGTCAGTCCGATAGAAAGCTTCAGAATATTCCACACAAATCTCCTCATTCTGTGCTGCAGCAAGAAAAGATGCCACAGCATAGTTTCCATAATCTGAATCTGAGCGGACAATCCCAATCCAAGTCCAACCAAAGTGTTTTACCAGCTTGGCTAGAGCAACAGCTTGATATTGGTCACTGGGAATTGTCCTGAAAAAAGTTGGGTGCTGCTGCTTATCTGATAGGCAGGCACATGTGGAAAAGTGGCTCACCTGGAGTATACAAGAAAAAAATGCCAGTTTTTAATAATACGTGAGAAGCATACTTTAAATTATGATTGCACTAAAATCAAAGTGCTTACCTGTGGGATGTTAAAAGGCCCAATTATGTGTGACATGCTGATGGACTGTGATGATCCAGATTCTCCAACAACAGCCATCACCACACCAGATTGGGAACAATTGCTGCCTTCGTAAACCAAAGGGTCCTGACCATTTGAAAGTTGAAATGCTGCATCCATGGCCACAGTCACTGAAGCACATGAGTCATAGATCTGATATCCAAGTTTAATACCTGGCAACAGCTCTGTGCTGTTGTTTATCTCCTCAATAGCAAAGATCATTGCACGAGCAAAGCGTAGATTGCGGAGATTAAGGCTGTACAGAAATACTTGCATCAGTGCAATTACTCAAATTACATTTTAGGAAAGAAAGCATAGGATTGGTACATAAAAGTTGAAAACCAAACTAAAGGAGGTTACACTGTCAAAGGCATAAAATCAAAATAGTGAAGTCTGTTTTTCAGACAATAAACAACTTCTGGTAATTAAATACAAAATAAAAACAGCATCTCATGAAAGTAAAAAAAAAAATAATTCATTTAAATGCAGTATGACTAAAAACACTAAATGGTACAATTTTGTATTGTTTATTTGTTTTATTTTATGCGTAAAAACATAGCAATCTATAAACAACAAAATAAAAATAAAAAAGTAAACCATGCCATAAACGAAAAGGGTGCAGAATAAAGAAAAAAAGTATTGTATATGCCACTTATTTTCAAAAAACAACTTCAACAACTAAACAAACATAAGCTTCAATGACCTCTAAATTAAACAAATAAAAAATAACAAAAAACAAAATATCAGATATCTTCATAAATTGTATTGATAAGTAAAAGCCTTTATTGCCAACATTACAACAATTTTTGCAACAAACAAACACATAATTTTCATTCATATGCATCACACATCCTTTTCTACCATGTCTCTCGCCTACTTACCTCCCTGTGCATCGTGCAGGTTCAGGCTTGGTGGTGTAATTATAAATAACTGTGTACAGTTTGTAGTGAATAGAAAAAACTCCTCCAACAACAAAGTCACCATCCACTGAGAATGCAGATGAACGAGGGGTACTCTGCAGGGTACATCGCATCAATGAAGCCTTAATACTGACACCACCGTCAGTCAGAGCTTCAGTGCTTAACTTTAGACCAATCACAAACCCATCCAAGGCAACCACTAACATCAACCCTAACAAACTCACAATTAATCTCAGGCCAATATAGATAGATAAGACTTCCATTTTTCAAGTGACTGTTTATGTGCAAGTGTGTTTTTATTGGGTACTGTGGCTCCTCTGTCATGCGTAAGCTTGTCAGTCATCAAAAACAAGTTGTCTTCATCCAATGATGTTTGCAGGGTTTCTTTTTTTTAATCTACACAGCATTTCTACTCTGCTTTAATTTCTCTTGTATTTAGGATTTCATTATATTTTTAAATATATACAGTATA